TTTGGGTGCAGTTTGAACCTTCAGGGGTGACAAAGAAATTGAAGTGAAATTTGGGGTCTCATGTTTCAGAGAGACTAAAACTCTGGCTTAGTTCTAGACCAGCTGTGTAGCTAAAGCTATGAAACAGGTCATCTGTGTTACCAATTTGTAATCAATAATCACAATTGTCAACATATGTCTATTTGCACAGACTATATAAAATGATCCTTGTTTTGTGTATTCTATTGTAACTGCAAGGATACGTAGCACCAATAGATTTTTGACATGTGTGCTGGGTGAAATATGAGAGAGATTTTCTTCTGTTCCTGAATAGTTACAAAGGAAACACATGCACAGATTATGAATCAGCTTTACCACAGGACTCAGTATAAGTACAAAATAATAAATTACATTTGCTAAGAACTTTGATGAGTTATCATACAGTAAGTGAGATTGGAATCGGGAAAAAATTGAACAAACGAATGACATTCTTGATTTTTGCAAGAGATTAATTTAGATGATTTAATTGTTTAATACTGATGATAGATCCATCTGCTTAGAATGCAGTAGCCAAGTTCTAGAAAAGGGACTGTCTAAGGATTTTAAAATGGGCATAGGTAGAAATTTTCTTAGAAATTAATCCAAAATGGCACCCATGTTAGACCCAATAGCTGGTTTTAAAACTTAAAATGCCTCTTTTTTCCATTTCAATACACATATTTGAGCATTGTCTCAACGTATGCACTGCACAATATGTGTTTTCAATGGAAAACAAAGCTTTTATGATTTAAAACTTTGGAATACTGCTTCCCAGCTTTAGGTCTGGAGGCGATAACCACTGCATTGTCTCGATATCAGTGAAATTCTATACCAATTCTCATTTTTTAAAATATTGTTGTTGGTATAGCTCTTAGATAATGTAATTTAGAGGTGGTTTCTGACAATCTTCTGAATAAAGGACAAGTCTGCTGCAAATCACTTGGAGTCCTGATAGTATTTTAGTTATTGATTTTCTTGAGAATGGTTGTGAAAGCTAAAAGTATAATTTCATTTCATATAACTTCTGTTCTTCACAACAGGTCTGAACATTCAGGACTTGAGCAACAGCTGTCAATCAATGTAAAAGGATTTATCATTAACTAGTAATTAAACTGTGTGCACAGCAACATATGTGATTCTGAATATATTTTCGACTGCAAGAAGAAGATTTCTCTTTGTAGAGAATGCATTCTAGCCCCTTCTGCAAGAAAACCACTTGCACATTCATGGACTCTGATGTCAAGAAACACTTCAACAACCTCTGGGAGATCTAAAGACTATTTAAATGTAACTATGATATATGCAGATGTTAATGCCCTCATCAGGTTCCATTCCCAGCCACAAAATACCCACTATTTACAGGATTTCTCACTGATGATTTGGTTGCAATTAGCTTTGTAAAGCAGCATGTATCCTCTTACTAGGATCTAGCTCACAACTGCAGCACTGTGTGTAACCGAACTTTCACAAATGGACTGAACAGGCCTAGGGAAAGATGTAAAAGATCTGTGTATTTTCTGTACAACTGCTGATGTCCAGAGTTCAATTTTTTTGATGTCTTTAAGTTGACAGCAATTCATTGAGGTACCCTTCAGTTGCCTGAGTACATTTAAAAGGGAAGGCTGCCTATGATCAAAGAGCAGGGAGCTTTGGAAAACATCTTGCAGCATTTGGAATTCAGGGGAAAAGCTGAGACACAACATCAGACAATATTCTCAAATGTTGTTAATGCCTGAGAGAATGTGCTACAGGAAACAGCCATCACCCATCAGAAAAGGAGCTGCAGGTGCCGCTATAGGTGCAGTAATGTTTTCAGATAGAGGGGATTCTCCTTCCTCAGTAAGGGTTCACTAGAAGCTGCTGGAAAGAGTGTCTTCCATCTTCTGTGCTATATGTAACCTAAATGGGGCATCAACAAAACAGGCACATTGTTCTTAATGGAGGTGTTCTGATTATCCTCTGAGATGTTCTGTTCTTTGGAACACAGATACTTCAGATCCATTAAATCAATGCAGGTCTCCCCTTACTCTATACCTTCCCTTTTTAGGTTGTTAAATACGTTATTTATTGTATTGATGTTCAAATGTGCAGAAATTTCTATGCTGTAAAGCACAGATTAAAAATACAAATAATATATTTCATGTGTGCAGTGTTCAAGCTTCTAGTCTATCTCCATTGTGGTTCAATGTCTAGAAAAGGCCTCTGGGCAGAATCATATCTGAACATGGGATGGTGCACCAGAAGCATGCTTATAGTTTACAACTATTTCTTGCCCCATTGACCCTCTGAGTTCAGTCTTTGCTCTGAAGGAATGTGTGGACAATACTGACAGCTGGGCTACGTTGGAGTTGCTTTCTTTTCAACGTCTGTACAGGTCATTTCTTCGTGGCCCCAGTTTTTATTGGCACTTGCTTGGACATTAACACTTTTAGTATTGTTTTTGACCACACCTTTTCTACAGAAAGCCCTACTATAAGTGGTAAAAATGGCATTTTATGTTGAAAGAGCCTTGTGATTTGTTATCTGATTGCTGACAGCCAAATTCCTCTTGCTAGAACAATGTGCAGGACCCAGAATGATTAGATTTACTGTGCTGGGTACATTTTGAACCCCTCAGGTTACGTCACTTGTCTTCAAAAGCTCCTGAGAGTTATAATGGGAGGAATGCTGGTATTTCTATGCAGCCTGACGTGCAAGAAAACTGTCATGTAAGGCTTGTATGCAACATCAGCTCCCTTCTCTTCTATGGGGACAGAACCAGATGCAAAGCACCTATTCGTGTGTATGGAATACTCTGTGTAATACGACACAGATTTCAAATATGGTTACAATTACATTTAAACATCTTTTAAAACTAAGTCTATTGTGACTATTTAAAAATACCAACAATTAGCACTTATATTGTGTTTCACAACGTCAAAGCATTTTCAGAATACGAGCCCTTAAATCTCCATCAAAGCATCCTTTATCATCCCGGGGGATCTTGACATCTCTGATACATTGAAACTACAGGCCCAGCCAAGAGGCACTTCCCTAATAATTTGATGGAATGTAGGTACCAGCAGTCTGAAAACCTTTAGAGGTTATATAAAAGTCCACCCAAAGGGGATGTAATTCTTTGGGCTCCAGTTGACAGCTTTTGAAATTCCTCTACCGCCAAGAGCAATATTTTTCCATTAGAATGAAAAGAAACATTGAGATGTGGGACAAGGGAAGAATTTATCTTAGTACAAAAGCACCAGGGAGCTGGCCACTGGCCAAATTTTGTTCTCTTCACCTGCCACTTCAGAACTCAGGGGAGCCAAACCAAAAATAACTTTTGTTTTTAGCACTTGCTTTTGTCTATTCATGCTTAGTGCTTTAGCTGTGACCTACATGCCTCCCTGCTGGTCGTTCAGGGTTTGCAATGGCTCTACGATGAAGGGTCCAAAGAGAAGAATGCTGGTTTTGAGTTTTTGAGCTGCCTTAATTGCCAGAAGCAATGTCCACAGATTTCTGACATTCTCATTTTCTGAGGAAGCTGGGTCAATATATACTTCATAAAGTACAGTACTCTAATGGGATTAAATCAAATTTATTCACTTTCCAAAAAGGAGACTAAGGTTTTGACTACACTTAGAAGTTTTGCCATTTTAGCTATGACAGCACAGTTAGAACAGCAAAATCCCACTAGTGTAGCTATAGTTATACCAGTATAAAAGTGCTTATATCAGCATAGCCTATTTTGATTTGGTAAAGCACCTTCTACCAGTGTAACTGCACCTACACTGGGGTTTTACCAGAATAATTAGGTTGGCAAAAATGACACCTAACTAACATAGTTATGCCAGGAAAACGTTTATTAAAGTGTTGACTGGACCTAAACAGGGAGATTATCCTTTGAACTGGGGCTGGCAGTAGAGAAGAGTCCTTTGTAATTCTTTCAATAATTAATCTTGTTGAGCATCATCAACTAGTTTTACAGTAAAGGTTGGGTTATTATTATATCTGTCTAATGGAATATCACTGAACATGTTTAACTGTGGCAAAAAAGTCCAAAAACTTATCCGCTCTTTTTTTTTTAATTAAACAAATTCTTTCCACTGGTCACTGAAACCAGTTATTAAACTTGCAAATCTCAAGTGTAATGGCAGCATTTTTTGCTATTTGGTGACAAACTTATCATTAAAGACACCCCGATATCTTATGAAAAACATACCATTCAGAGAAAGTTGCGGGAATATAGCCTATGTTTATCATTTTTTATTTTAAAATGAAGGAACGTTTCATGAAAAAACATCTGTTTCATTAACTTTTGTTGCTTATAATTCACTTACCGTTAGAGATTTGTAATATCGTATTAGTTACTGATGACAGTGTTGTCATCAAATGAGAACTGTGTACCTGGATTTGGGGTAGTGGGTAGCTCTAACTTTACTGTCCATGCTTCTGATCCTGGGACCAAACAAACCCCTGATGTAATTTAACTGAGCCTAAGGGATGATCTAAATTATGCTGGCTAGAACAGTCCTCTACTGGTAGCTTTGTTGGCCAGAGCAGTGTATTCCAGCCATACCCCTCCCTGACTCTGGTCTACCCAGGAAATATCACCTATACCATGGGGGAGGGAAATGTTACAAAGAGCTGGTTGCTGGGTTTATGTCACATGATGATTCCTCTGCAGGGGAATCCCCAGCTGCTCTGTGGCAGTGACACAAAGGAAACTAGATCTGGATTTATGTCTCCAGCTGAGAGATACAAGTGTAGTAGTAGAGGAGCAAAGAAACAAAAATTTTATTTTCATCCAAGTGTCATCATAATTTCATCCAAGTAATAAAAAACGGGGAGAAAATGACAGCAAATATATATCATATCAACTGAACACAGTTTGTAATTAGTCCTAAAGGTGCACAACCAAAATACTTTCCCACTTTAAAAAATTGTTTTATAGATAAAAAATTGGTGATAGAAATATAAATATATCATTTCGAGGTAAAACTCACCTGACTCCAGCTTCCAGCAAACCACTCCACTTTACCCACACAGGGTCCATTGTCACAGGGGATTGTTTCAGAGGGTCTGTTATTCCCACAACCCTCCAGTGGCAAGCTGCTAACATGGTTGGACATACAAACTACTGACCGTGTTCGGACTCCCGCACCACATTCTGCAGAACACTGTATGATGGGAGACAAAATAGACACTTATTAGCCTCATTCTTTGGACCACAGTTACACAATGAAATGAAGAGTGGGAACAATCCTGAAAGCGCTAATGATACTATTCAATGCTCATTATTATTTGTATTACTGTTGTGTCAAAAGGCCCCATATCATGTCAGGGCTCTATTATGCTAGGTGCTGTACAAACATCATAAAACCCAGTCCCTGCTTTAAAGAGCTTACAATCTAAATGGTCAAGAGAGATGAAAGGCATGAGGTGGGGAAGGAAGGATGTAACTTATAAGGACAGTGAGCAGGATGAAGTCATGGTAGTTCTTCAAAGCTCTTCTCCTCCACCCCAGATTTGTTTTGTTTCCTTATATACACACAGTGGCAGACGGTGTGAGCAGAGGAAAGGGGGAATGGATGAATTAGACAAACTGCTTCTCAAAGGAAGAATATGAGACATGCATGGCTCAGTTTTCAAACTTAGGTGCTTCAGGCAGGACACCCCGTTTCACATCTGGGTGCTCCAATTGGCATATTTGCCTACTGCTGGCAAAGAGGATGGGGCTGGGAGGCCTTTCCTAGAACCCTGCCACTGGTCCTGAGGCGGGCTGCAGAGCATGTCTTGAAATTTGTTGGTCATGCTGCAGGATGCAACAGCTAGAGCCACCGCAGAGTGATAAAAAGGTACATGAAAGGGTCAGGCAAACCCTAACCCAATCATTATTAACTCATCACTAATTATTAAACAAATAATTTCAGTGTAGAACTATTGATTATAATTTTTCCAGAGAACTTGATTCTGTGATACATTAACATTCACATTTTTTCAATGTTACTTCTTAACTGTACACTTCCTCCATATAACCCAAAGCATGTTTTCTAACCCCTCCCCCCCCCACACTTGCTGAACAGGCATGGCATCTTACATCTGTATGCATTTTTGTATATCATGTTTGTTCACAAAGTTCCAAAAACACCTTATTAACCATATTGCAATGGACACTCAATCTCACCCACTCATAGGTAACATTGCAAAGCCTCCTCTTTTTACTTCTAACAGTTGGGATTTTCACAGGAACCTAAGAGATTAAGGCACTCAACTCCCAATGAATTTCAAAGGGGGAAGTGGGCACCTTGGGTGCTTTGAATAGCCCACCCTCCAACTTACTTTCTTTTTTAAAATTCCCTTTGGGCTCACATATTCCTCCTGGTCATGGCTAGAAGGAGATTTGATTTTTTTAAAATTTGATTTCCAAATTTGATCTGACTCCCTTCAGTCAATTTTAATCCACTTTTTCCCATTTAAAAAAAATGTCTAACCATGCTATTATTTTTCCCAGAATACAAGCCTACTGCAAATTGATATAGAAAGCCTGAAACCTACCATGGATGTAGGTCTCACTGAGGACTTTTGCTAGGTTTTTTGACTGAATCCAGCAAAGTTACCGGAATTTGACAATTATCTACTGAATATGCATTAAGATACAGTCATTAATTACATGATCACGGATGACTTTAGAAATGACCACAAAGTAGTCAAAGCACAGCAAGGACAAAGTAGATGACCATAATGGTCCCTTCTGGTCTTAAAAATCTATGAATCTATGAAAGTTCAGATCCAGATTTCACAAAAGGTCAGGGGTGTTCAGATTTGAGGTTTTCCTTTGGCCTCTAGTTATTGAAAATGAAAAGGTACTAGCAAAATTGTAGGAAAAATCTGCACCTATATTACAGTGCATTGTATTGTATTATAATGCATACATCAAGAGTTAATTTTCACATTTCATGACTTAATTACTAAACTTTGCTAACTCTGAAACCTTAACATTCCATTAAATAAATTGTTTATTACTATACATAGACACATTTGTCACAAATCTGAAGATGCTATGCAGTTATTCATTGCTCATCTTGGATTAGATTCCATTTAGCATACCCCTTTAGCAATTCCCTTTGTACTCTGCCCTGTAATCTTTCTCCATTAGGAATAATTCTACTAGTTCAACACCCTGGGCAGCTTCTACTGCTGCCATTAAAAACAAACAAACCTAACATGCCAGTGTTTAATTTGGTATTTTGCATATAACAGACTCTAGATTTGTCTATTTGTTCTTATTACTCATATTTTTCTTGTTAGCTGAATTTGATATTTTGTGTCTGGATTATTAAAAAGAAAGAAAAAATGTGCAGCTTGCTGAAAGTTGTGTGTATAACTAAATTTAAACAGCTACAAGCAGTTATATTATATTACACATGGAAAGAAAACCACAAATAAGAATTTGTTACATGGTAAAAAACATATGTTTGATTGGCATTTGCAATTTTATTTTTAATATATAATTTCATTAGCTAGGAGAAGTTATGCATTGCTGCTAGACTGTATAGAACATTCCTTGTGAATGAATGGATGGCTCTGCATTGGTTAGTGTATCCTTACTGCATTTTTAAAGGGATGACTCAAAGTACTGGTAATGGCACACAGACCTGGCCTCTCCTAGTTTGAATCTCACTCCAGTCAGCAGTGACAGAAAGTCTTCACTATCTGATTTACCGCATTAATGATCTGTGGGGCTAGTGATTTATTGAACTGGCGATCTCTGCCTAGTTCCAGCTGTCCACATTACAAAAAAAACCAATCACAACTGGCACTAGCTGCCTTTCCTGTTGGTCTTCTCAAGAGAGGTCAAAGGATTGAATGGGCAATGGAAAACAAATTACCCCCTCATCATCCTGATGCATATCAGTAGGGTAATGTGGGAAACATACTGCTTTGTAACTGTTCCATGGATTAACATCAGTAATTTAGTTTCCACTGTCATCCAGCCAGCACCTTTCACAAAGCACTTAAGCAAATACAAATGCTTTGCTGAATTGGGACCTTGAAGAAAGTAAAGTGAGTTAACTGTTACAAATGGTACTAATTGAATACTACTACTACTGCATTGTTAATACTAATTAGTAATCAAAATATAATTTTGGAGTGTTTGAAAATTCAGGATTTAAACACATGCTTAAGTATTTTTCTGAATTAAGACTTGTGTCCCCAATTTCCTCCTGAATCTAACAAATAATTCAGGCTCTTCTAAATGATGCCTGCAAGTAACAGATAAAAATCTCAGTTTCTTTGTGAGACAACCTAAACCCAGACCCCAGCTACTAAACTTATTGTACACAGCTCTCACAGTCATCTCCCCAATATGCCTCTCTGCTCTGTTATTATGAATTAGCAATGTATTGATATGTACAAGAAAAGACAGTTACCTTTTCCGTAACTGGTGTTCTTCGAGATGTATTACTCATGTCCATTCCACAATAGGTGTGCGTGCTCGCCACGTGCACCGGTGCCAGAAGTTTGTTCCCTAGCAGTACCCGTAGAGGAGTGCCCCAGCGACCCCTGGAGTGGCGCCGCCATGGTGCGGTATAAGAGGTGCTGCGCGCTCCCCCCACCCTCAGTTCCTTCTTGCCAGACAACTCCAACAGAGGGGAAGGAGGGCGGGATGTGGAATGGACATGAGCAACACATTTCGAAGAACGCCAGTTACGGAAAAGGTAACTGTCTTTTCTTCTTCGAGTGATGCTCACGTGCATTCCACAATAGGTGATTCCAAGCTATATACGTTGGAGGTGGGTAGGAGTTCACAGACGCTCTGGACGGAGAACAGCCCTGCTGAACCCAGCGTCTTCCCTGTGGGAGACAATCGCATAATACGAGGTGAACGTGTGAACCGATGACCATGTGGCAGCCCTACAAATGTCCTGGATGGGGACATGGGTCAGAAAGGTGGCCGACGAGGCTTGCGCCCTAGTCGAGTGTGCCCTCACAATCGGCGGCGGGGGGACTCCCACCAGGTCATAACAGGTATGAATACATTAGGTGATCCAGTTGGAGAGCCGCTGTGTGGAGACCGGCTGACCTCTCATGCGTTCGACCGAGGCGACAAACAGCTGCAAGGACTTCCCGAACGGTTTTGTACGTTCCATGTAAAAAGCCAGAGCCCGTCTTACATCCAGCACGTGGAGGCAGTGCTCCTCACTGGACATGTGAGGTTTGGGACAGAGCACCGGCAGGAAAATGTGCTGACCCATATGGTAGACGGAGACCACCTTAGGGAGGAATGAAGGATGTGGTTGGAGTTGGACCTTATCCTTATGGAACACCGTGTACCAGGGTTCGGAGTTCCGAGACCCATCTAGCGGATGTGATCGCCACCAGGAAGGCTACCTTCTATGAGAGGTGTGACCAGGAACATGTAGCTAGTGGTTCAAATGGAGGACCAGTTAACCTTGCCAGCACCAGGTTCAGGTCCCACGGAGGGACTGGGGACCTAACCTAGGGAAAGAGGTGATCCAAACCCTTAAGGAATAGACCAGTCATGGCATGGGAGAACACCGTGTGGCCCTGCACTGGTGGGTGGAAGGCCGATATGGCTGCCAAGTTCACCTTGAAAGATGAGGGTGGTAGGCCCTGGGATCTAAGGTGAATGAGGTAGTCTAATATAAGCTGAATCGGAGCAGCCACAGATGAAATGCCCTGATCAGTGGCCCATTGGGAAAACCGAGACCATTTCTCCAGGTAGGCCCAATGTGCGGAGGGCCATCTGCTTTCCAGGAGGACGCGCTGAATCCCTTCCGAGCAAGTCCTCTCTTCCCGGCCTAACCATTGAGCAGCCATGCCGTGAGGTGGAGTGCCACTAGGTTGGGGTGGAGGAGGCGACCCTGCTCCTGGGAAAGCAGGTCCCAGGTGGGATGGCAATGGCTACGGTGGGGCGACTGCCAGGCTCATGAGAGTCCCGTACCAATGTTGCCTGGGCCATGCCGGTGTGATCAGGAGGACCCAGGCCCTGTCTGTTTTTATCTTTTCCAAGACCTTGCCGATCAGAGGAATCAGGGGAAAGGCATAGAAAAGTTGGTCCGACCAGGACAGAAGGAAGGCATCGGAGATGGCGCCCACGCCCAATTCCCTCCCCCCCCCGTCCCCTCCAGAGCAGAAGCGGGGACACTGGCAG